GTTTATTTACATTCAATTCGAACAAGCGCTGCGCGACGACCACCGCGCTTTAACAAACGCTATGCTTTGGAAACCCTGTTGAGAAACATTTGTGGACAGTGTAAGGACTGTAGACAAAATGTGGAAAAGATGCTTGTCGCAAATTACGTGAAAATCGGGATCTCACATAATGTGGGATAACACAGAGTGCAGGACTCGGATTTGAGATGGCGCGATTTGTAAGTGAATGATAATTTGGAACAGGGCAATATAATCAAAATAAGTTGCAAACTGTCACAATACTATAAGGAATTCATTTTATAAAATCCAAACATAACTGTTCACATGAATTTTCGTCGCGTGATAATGCAATTGTTATTGTTATCAAATACCATATGTGCATTCGACTGTTATCTAACGTGTTGACAATTGAAGGGTTTAATTGTTATATGATCTCTGACATCGAACGGCACCTGTTAATAACATATCGATAACTTATATTTAGCGTCCTCAACGTTTATCTTCGAAAATCTAATTATGCAACTTGACGACCATTGTTCCTATGTTCCGCTCTCAACAAAAAGCAGGATTGTTATTATAGCACTGCGCGAAATATCTATAATACAGAGTAGACTAACCTGTAGTTTAGCCTGTGTTCACATAAATACAAGAAAATCTACCAATGTGTTTATGTCAATACAACGAGTTACTTCCTGTATCTCCCAGTATTTAAAGCGGGAGGGTCGCCACCTGCGCACGCGCTGGAATTGAGTCTCAAGCAATGATAACAACACATGCTAAAAACGCAAAGGCTAATGGGTAGACGCTTGTTTGTAAACAATGACATGCTATGGCCATCTGACGCACGTGTAGGTGACGACCCCCTTCCCCCCTTAAGCCAAAATAATTTGAATAAAGCATATTGTACTTACGTGAACACGGCAACGTCAAAACTTCATTCTCAAGTGGCAATGGTATAATTCTTGGATTTGAAGCGCGGGGGATTCTCTCAACATTATGGATTGATTGCGTTGTGGATTGTTCAATTCTCGAACAGTACATATTCACTAGTACATATTCAGACTAGAGAGTGTTACGCTTTCGCAAAGGAAAAAAATCATAAGGGTGTAAATCTGAATCGGCATGGCTGATGTATAATACTCAGCTCAGTTATATTACATGCCAGTATAATTAGACTCACTAATTAAGCAAGGTATGTAGAATCACATAAAACTACACACACTCATGCATTTACTCACTCAAATATATATTACAGATACTTTGAAGAAGTATGTTTATTTAAAAAAAAAACAATTATAATATCAGTTTACGTTACTATATATATTATTATTGCACCAATTACATTTGTGTGCAGAATTCAACAGAAACTATCCCCATGGCATCGCTATACTGGAGATGTCTAATACACCAGTGCAAATAAACTCATATCTCCCCTTGAAACCCAATCGATATGTAATTTTAAATGTGCGTTTTGACGCGGTCGATCTCGTTTGTGTAATTATAGCGATCAAACTGAGTACGTTGGTGTTACTAAACAATCATTCTCCATTCCATACATCATATTCTATATCACTTCTATACTGCAATGTGAAAACAATGTATGCAACAATCACAGTGGTGATATCAAACATTGAGTTGTTTTTATTAACGATAACATCAATAATTTTTATCGAATGTAAATAGCGCTCTCAAGTGTTGACAATTCTTGGTGC